CAGGACCTCGAGTTCTCTAGTCTGATCTTCGCCTCCAAGAACATGACCGCCGGCGCCCCCTCGCCCGCCCTTGCATCCGACGAAGACGAATGGCCCTCCGCCGAGCCGCCGACTGTTCTCGGCGCCCCGTGTCACCCCAACGGCGTGCCGCAGTTCCAGCCTCTCGGCGCCATCGACGAGAAGAGCAGCGGCGCCAGCGAAAACGACTCTGACGCCGCCAGCTCGAGCGGCGCGTCATTCAGCGAGGCCGAAGACGGCGACGACGAGGCCGCCGCGTCCCCCCAAATTCGCCAGCAATCCGTCCTCACGACAGACACCACCATCTCCGCCTCCAGTCAACCACCAGCACCACCACCAGCAACGGCACCGTCCAAACGACTCGTCTCCTTCTGCGACGGGTCAGAAGAAGAAGAAGACGGCATGCCGGTGAGCTGGATGGATCTAGAGCCGGAAGGGCCCGGCGACCACCCCGAACTGGGTAAGAGTCTGGACCAATCACCAGTCACAACGCCCATCAAGCCGGTAGTGCGGCCGCTATCCCGGCTGGGGGATAAGTCCATCAACGAGTCCCAGTCGCCGCCGCGGATCAAGAGCGCCAACGCCGCGACTACCACCCGCCGGCTGTCCAACCCGTTTGAAGGGTACACGCGGCCCACAAGCCGGGCGCGGAGTCTACACGTCAACCCGACGCCGGCGCCGATGCCGACCACGCCAACCCCAAATGCCGGCAAGGAGAAGAAGAAGAAGCTGAAGGAGAAGGAGACGGAGCAGAACCGCCTGTCGGTCCACTCGCTGCACTCTATCGAGATCGCCGTGCCCACGCGCAGCTCGTCTTTGAAGCACCGCGTCTCTTTCACTGATGACGCCCGCAAGACCATTGCATCGCGGTCGCGGGCTCGCTCGCACGCCTCGTCCACCCGCACCGGCTCCGACCACGTCACCGCGCCGGGGACAAACAGGAGCTCCATCATCGCCGACCTCAAAGAGGAGCTCGAGCCGTGGTTCCGCTACCTCGACGAGCAAGAGGAAGGCCTCGCGCCCCCTCTCCTCGTCACTCCCCGTCCCAAGTCCCGCTCAGCAGAAACCTCGCGATCTGTCGTCACACCACGGCCCAGATCCCAGGCCCAGACCAGATCACGCCCGACATCCTCAGTCAGCGCTTCGTACACATGGCTCGACGACCCAATCGACATCCCCTCCCTCTCCTCCGAGGAAGCGCGACGGATCCCTCTCCCGCCCAATGTCGTCGAGTCCCTCCGCATCTCCGTGACCTGCTTCCCCGAGACCATGCTCCTCTGCTCCAGCCTCTCCATCGAGACCATCCGCAGCTACTCCCGCAAAGTGCGCCTACCCGTCCACGAACCAATCCGCCCAGACACGCCGCCCGCCTCCCCCAAGCAACGCTGGCGATGGCTCGCCCCGCGCCGCAACAACAACGCAAACTCCTCCGTCCGTCGCTGCTCCTCCCGCGGCGCCGCCTCCTCCTCCAACCTGGACCTCTCCTCCATCGCCCCGTCCACCGCAACCCTCACCGCGCCCCAGTGGTCCCGCATCCGCAACCTGTTCCCCACGGGTTCCGACTACCTCTGCGACGCCCTGTACGCCCACATCGTCGCCTACAACTACCTCGCCCCCATGGTCCAGCACGGCGCCCGCCCGCCCACGCCGGGCACCCCCGAGACCACCGGCACGACAGACGAGTCCATCCCCAAGAAGGCCGCTACCCTGCTCGGCCTCCAGGGCTTGCAAGAAACCACGCCCCCGCCGCCGCGGCCCCTCCGCAAGCGCTCGAGCATGTTCCTCGGCCTGCGCGCCTGCTCGTCGCGCCAGTCCTGTGCGCCGCCGGTGCCGGTTACCCCCGTCCCGACGGCGGATGTCACCCTGCGCGACCTGCAGATCGGCATCCGGCGGTGCATCGCGCGGCTGGTGGCGACGCTGCGCGCCGAGGGTGCGGACGGGCCGTTGGCCGGCGAGTCGGTCAACGAGATCGACCCGCTCATCATGCGGTCGCTGTGCGAGATTGTCAAGTGCTGCGAGGAGTCGTCGACCAATGACCGAACTCTATAAACACCAAGCATCTTTCACATTTTGCTTTGTCGGAAAAGTTTTCTATCATCTCTTCTACAGCGTTCACTTTACACACATCCACGTAGACAATCATCATCTCCCGTGAGATGGTCGGAAAAAAGACAGGTTTCATGTTTAAGGGGGGAAGCATTGTTTTTTTGTTTGGTATATATACCCTCTTTGATTTTGGCAGGGACTTTTCTTTTCCCTTGTTTTTTTCGTTTTTGGTTTCGAGCGTAGGAGTACTGTAGACAAAGGGAGGGAGTCAGTCAGGCAGGGAAACACAAAACATGGTGATGGTTGGGAAACGGGGGACGGGTGGACGGTGTTTGTTTTTTAACCTGACTTAATGTCTATGAATAGACAGAAAACAAAACAAGCAGAAAATGGCAGTGAGGCCATATCCTTCAAACCCCCAACGTCACCCCTCGTGCCATGCTTCCTACCTTATGTCATGATGCTATTCACTCTTCCTCAGATGTACTCTACACTGCCCTCAAAAGGATACGGATCCCGCACCACAGTCCCAACCTGGCTCTGCTGACTCCCCCATTCCACCGCATCTTCCGTCTCCCTCCGCGGCGGCCTCTGCCCCTGAACAAACGCGTCGAAATCCCGCCTCCTCCCCGGCGCCGTCCCTCCCCCACTTCCCACCGTCGCAGTCCTCGGACCTTCACCACCACCACCACCATTGCCGTTCCACACGCGCGCGACGCGCCCCTTGCCCTTGACCCCCTTCATGAACCCGTTGCTCAGCCCCAGCAGCCCCGCGCTACCGAGCAGCAGCACGAGCAGCGCCATGTTGCCCGCCTGCGAGACGTTGCCGCTGAAGACGGCGACGAGGTAGATGGTCAGCTTGGCGGCGGCCTCGAGGTAGCCCTGCGCGGCCGTCTTGGCGAGGAGGTACGTCTCGGTGGTGAGCGCGGCGAGGTCGGCGGCGCGGCCGCGCATGCGCACGGAGAGGGTGGGCGAGAGCGGGATGAGGTACTCTGTGAGCTTGGAGGAGGACGGGGAGGAGGGCGCGGAGGGGGAGGGGGGTGTGCGCTGCTTGATGATGTAGATGTTGAGGAGGCGGGAGGTTATGAGGGCTATGATGGCGGCGAGACCCCACCCTGGTGAGGATGTAAGCAGATGTCTATCAGCCGTCTTTGGAGGACCTGAGGCTGAAGATGTCGGAAGAAGGGGAACTCACAATCTCCCAGTAAAACCATCACCGTCACCGCCCCAACCGTAAGCAACGGACTCGCGAGGTAAAGCAAATGACTCCCCTTCTCAAACTCCCACTCCCTATCCCGCTCCTCAAACGCCCTCCCCTTCCTCCTTCTCCTCCCCGTCCCCATCGTGCCGATATCAACCACAATGACCTTATCCTCCTTCCCCGCCCCGGCCCCAAAAGCCTCCACCCCGCCACCGCCTGCCGCCTTCCTCCGCATCCTCAACTCCTTGTCCCGCGCCCTTTGATCTTGCACACCCAACCGCGACAGGAACATCAACATCCCAGGATTCGTCACCCGCACATTCTTGAACCCGCCGCCGGGGAGCGCCTCCGTCCCGAACACGCCCTTCCCGCCGCCGCTGTTGGCGTTCCCGCCGTCGAACGCGCGCGAGGTTTCGGCGCTGATACCGCTGGCGTCGGAGCCCGCGACGCCGTCCGCGGCTTGTTGGTAGTGCAGCCCCGGCGCGAGGACGAGCGAGTCCCACCAGGAGGAGGTGCCGGTCAGCGCGGTGCGGTGGGCGATGGTTTGGAGGTCGGCGAGGGCGACGAGGCCTGCGGCGGAGAGGGAGAGGGAGGGGAGGGGCGTTTTGGGGAGGATGGGGAAGACCATGGCGGTTGAGGGAAAGGGATCTCGCCTCAGCTTCGAGGTTGACGGGAGCTTGGGAGCTTGGAGGTTTGGAGGAAGGTGGTTGGGACAAGCTTATCTATGAAGCGGTCAACTAGCCTCATCCTCCTACACCCACCACTTGTAAAGCTGGGTGGTGGAAGAAGACCACCGGCGCAAGACGGGCCTCGCCCGCCCGATGACGTGTTCCAGATTCCCTTTTCGCTTTCCTGAGACCTTGTCGTCACGAGATGCGTCAAAATGTGTGAGGGTGAGAAACGAAGGAAGAAACAAAAGGAAAAACACAAGTTCCCGAAATCTAGATCAGCTAGAACATGGCCGCCCCCGTGTCTTGCATCGTTTCTTTGACAGGTGCGGGCCGGGTGACCTATCGACAGGGGTGTATCCTGCTGGCAAGCTGACCCCAAATCTTGCCCACCCGCAGAAGCCGTTCTGCCCACGCGATTACGTGCACGTGAAGTCGCAACCAAGGTTGGCCTGGTTTGGGGAGATGGAGGGATGGGGGGCGCCAACGGCGTCCCGTCGCAATGTTCCGATGCTACCCTCCACACAGATTGAGGTTGGCGCGTTTCGCGCTAAAGAGCGTTGGAGAAACACACACCAGCCTTCATTGTTGGAGAAGTTCCCGATGGAGGATTTGTTAGTGGCGGCTGGCGCCGGGTGTTTGATTGGGTTGGTGAGACATCGTGTTCCGATATTTGGCTGATTGGGTTGAAGAAGACCAGCCCTACATGATGACGATAATGGTGGTGCACGATTGATAATGCGGATTGTCAAAACACAGGGTAACATCTCACCGAGTTCACAAGGTAATCACTCATAAATCTCACAACGAAATGAGCAGTTCACTGCGGACGAGCCCAAGACTGAATGGGTTCATGAACGAAGTGCAGGTTGGCGTAGTAAGAATTTTCAGAGTACCAAAATGAGTTTGGATCAAAGCACATAAGAGTGCACCAGGTACCTATTCGAAGGGATTCATCAACAGGTGGTCAAAATGCAACACTTCCCTGTGCAAAGTTGTGGGTTTCCCAATCCGAATTGTCGTACGTCTTACAGACAATGCCTGTGAAAACAGAGTCGGATCTGTAGCTACTGCGTGTCTGCCTCTGGCTTCTTTCCGTAGATCGCGTACCTATATGACCGCGTCAGCCGCTCCTCTGCAAAAGACATCTCCCCGGCTAGTAGTAGCGCGACTTACCAGGACCAGTAAGCATGAATGTTACGATCATTGAACTCTTTCCGAACATCAATGAGCAAGACCTGGACCTCCTCCTTCTTCCAGCCGAGAGCTCTTGTAAATGGCGCCATAACCCAACCTTCGATGCCTGAGAGATAGTTGATATTCGCCCACTCCCCAATCTCTTTAAAATGGCTATCCCTTGGCCACGTGTTCGTCGGCCACTTGAACTTCTTGACGTAAAGGTCGACGAATCCGACCTCCTTCATCATATTAACCAGCGGAAGCACGTCCTGGAACGGGCGCCCGAAAACTTTGAGGGCTTCGCCGATGAGTGTGTACGTTTTGTTCAGGGCGGAATCCGTGGGAAGCGTTCCGTCATCGGACTCAGGCATGAGGTCTACCTCTTTCAGCTCGAGATAGCCGCCGGGCGTGAGGTTGCTGTAAGCTGGGGGTTAGAAAAAGGGATCTATACGCAAGCTGTCAACCCACTCGTAAGCCCTTTGGATGAACTGTCTCCAGTCGGCGATACTAGAGTTCATCATTCGGGAGTGGATGTAGTCAAACGGGCGGCTGTAGATCCAGGGCTCGTCGATGTCGTCTACTTCGAAGGTGACGTTGGGAGGGACCCTAACAAATGTCAGACTTTGGCTGTGCGAGGATTCCGCAATGAAGGGTTTACTCTGCTTGAGGAGGTGACAGGTCCACTCCAAGAACCTAAGGCACAAGTTAGCATGTTCAGATGGTTATACGAACTAACACCCTGACAAACCTCAGCTTCAGGATGGGCTTCTCCAAATTCGATTGCCCACAAGCCAGTCCCGGTGCCGACATCTAGGACACGACGGACACCAGAGTCCTTGTCATTGGGTGGTGCCACACCAAGCTTCCCGTCAAGACAGAGATCGAACATGTGATGCTGCAGGTCTGTGGTGATAAAAAGGGAAATCCAGGTCAGACGATCATGCACAGATATCCAGACTGCACACTTCACCAAGGGCGCTTACCCAGTCTCTCAAGTTCCCTGTCATCATTGGGATATTGGTATTCTGCCATTGTCAATGATGCGAATGTTCTGTTGGTTTACACGGTGTGAAGGGAGTCTCACTGCCTTCCTTGTACCGGTGATAAGTGCGTCCATTCTCGAGGCGATAGTTATAGATCGACTCCGACAAACTCGTGCTTGAGGAAGCGATGCTCTGCAACTAGTTGAGAATCTGAACGTTGAACACAGAGATATCGTAACTCACGCCTCCAAGGTCAGATGCTGCGTCGTCGACAGGTTGCTACCAAAGGTTAGACCATGTTCATATTCTAATTTCAAGGCATCACTCAGAACCTCGTCGTCAGGCACAATTTGCTCCTCCTCCGTGGGCTGAGCTGTGGCTGCAGTGGGTTGAGCGGTGGGCGAGGCTGCAGACGGCGCGGTAGCTGCGGGTGCTGTACCCGCCGCCGCTGCGGCACTTGCGTCGTCGGTTGCAGACATCTCAATCTCCTCGTGGGCTTTATGCAAGGTCGGAAAAGCCAGTGTCTGGAGTGCCAATAATTATGTGAAAAAAGTCAAGAGAACCTGCCGAGAACATGCTGTTTTTATGTGTTCACCGACATGCCTGCCTACCCCTCTTCTTGGCTGGAGACAACCATGCACGTTGGTGGCAAAGATGCAGGTCGTTGCATTTGGTGTTGAATCCATCCACCCATCGTCCAGAAGAAGCCTGTTCGTCGGTTTATTGGCCCCACTCTCTTGCGTTTTCGAATGTCTCTTCAACAGATAAAGCAGTATGGGTTACTGCATATACACGGGAATGGTTCAGGTATGTACCTCGTGCATAGGCGAGCCGGGTATGAGGACCATTGCCAGTCGTAAGACAGAACTGAGACAAGGATTCGAAGAATGTCGTTCCACCTCTCCCTCTGAGCGTTAAGCGAGCCACTGAATGTCAACACAGACGGCAGCAGCAACGATTTCGTTGTAGCCCGCGTCACGAAATGCAGTTTTCAAGGAACCCTAGAAAGATTGTTTTTGAAGTCATCGTCGACGTAGACGCATGTCTGTTTGTCTGGATCTATCGTCCAAAGGACGTCCGCAGACATTTCCTTTTCTACAATTATTGGTATAAATTGGTCTGGACCTCTAAATAGTCAGTGGTGCTTCATATTCACACGCTGTAACTGCAATCCTCCTTTTCAGCAAGAACATTCTTTGTTCGCTAAGAGCCCTGTTTTCGCACCGGGAAACACGTTTAAATGTTTTTGTAACAAGGCTCTTTTATGAACATCAGTTTTATGAAGCTACATGAATATTGAGGGAAGGGTTAACAATTACGCAGGAAGCTACGTGAACTTGGAAAAGACAACGCATAATGTAGAAAAATTTGAACCGAGAGAACTCCATCGAGGGTTTCTCTTGGGAAACAACTTGACCATACTTCCGGCTCTTCGGCTGTACCTCACGGCCCTTATCCATCCACCTCGGGTTTCTTGCCATAAAGCGCATACCTATCATTTCGTCGTGTTAGCTTTGAGATGGGGTTTGTGGGGAGACTGTGGGGAGACCGCTGCCTCAAAAAAGCGGCAAACGTGCAAACTTACGCCGGCCAATACGCATGGATACTGCGATCCCTGAACTCCTTGCGGAGCTCAACCAAGAAAACCTCAACTTCCTCCTTCTTCCACCCAAGTCCTCGGGTCAGAGGAGCCATGGTCCAGGCTTCGATACCAGACATGGAATTCTCGTGCGCCCATTCGCCGAGGAGCTTGTATCGAGGGTCTGCTGGCCATGTATTCGTGGGCCACTTTACCTTTTTGATATGGATATCGATGAACCCGATATCCCTCATGGCATTTGCAAGATCTGGAATATCCTGAAAAGACCGGTTAAGCACGGTGGCGGCTTGTCCAAGTAGCGCAAAGCACCGGACAATAGCAGCATCCGACCTCAAGGTGCCGTCGTCTGACTGAGGCATAAGGTCTATTTCCTGGAGCTCGAGGTATCCTCCCGGCGTAAGATTGCTGTTTCAACTGATTAGAATACTGTTTCGTGTAGTCTAAAGAGAAAGTAGTAAAACAAATACTCACTCATAAGCTCTTTGAACCAATTGTTTCCAGTTCGAAATGCTGGATGTCATCATTCTGCTGTGAATGTAGTCGAACGGCCGAGAGAACAGCCAGGGCTCTTCGATATCATCAACCTCAAATCGAACATTGGGGGGCACCCTGTCAGGAATTAGAGACGCATACGGTGGGTTTCTCGACGAAACCATACTCTGCTTGCGGAGGAGATAGGTCTACACCTATGATCTGCATGAGGTTTCGAGATTAGTATGCGAACGAAGGAAGATAATTAGGTTCTGATGACAGACCTCTGCTTCCGGGTGAAGGTCGCCAAATTCGATGGCCCATATCCCAGTTCCAGTCCCCACATCAAGGACGCGTTTGACCTTAGAACCTTCTTCGTTTGGAGGAGAAAGACCGAGCTTGCCTTCCAAAGTAAGAAGAAACAGGTGATGCTGCAGATCTGAAAAGACCGTCAACAACATCCATCAGAAAAGAAAAGGTCGTCCGTTCCACTCAACCACGCACCTAATCTGTCGCTCTCCCTTTCGTCGTTAGGGTAGGAATATTCTGCATCCATTAGAAAACCTAATCCAAAGAAGTGGCTAGAATAGCACCTTTCGTGTGGGAGATTTACTTCCATCTTTGTACCTATGGTACGTGCGGCCGTTTTCAACGCGATAGTTGTAAATCGATTCTGCCAAGCTGGTCTTCGAAGACGCAACGCTCTGCCGAAAATACTAAGTAGGTTGTCCAACACAATCCCTACAGAAGACATCTAAGCACTCACGCTTCCAATGTCTGACGCCGCGTCGTCCACACCCTGGGCCTAAGGGAATGGATTAGATCAAGCCGGAGGCTTCGAGAGACGGGCGCGCAAGATACCTGGGGATCGATCGCGAGTTGCGGCTCATCGGCAACTTGGATGTCTCCCCTCCCAGGCTGGGTACCAGGTGCAGCAGTGGGAGCTACAGCTGCCGTTGGTGAGGGTGCGTTGTTTGGTGCTGACATTTTGATCGTCGATATGTGCAGGGGGCTATCACCTGTCCAACTTTTCCCACGTTTTGTTTTGAAGAAGATGGAGAAAACGAGGACAACAGCGAGCTTTTTATCTACCCACCAAGACTTTCCTTTACCCCTCTCCTTGGCTGTAGACAATTATGCAGGTTGGCGGCAAAGATGGAACATGCCCATGCAGCTTGTGTTGGAGCGAATGTCCAGAAGTAGACATTGGACCACGTTTGGCCCATTTTTTCCCACCACCCCTGATATTTACGGTGACTCGACCGTTCTAGAGGCCATACTTCCGTCTGCGTAAGGATTTCAAAGCCTGTGGTTTGTGGCAGAAGTGGGTTCCTTGCCTCGCTATTTTCAGAGCCTCACGGCTTTCTCTCATCAAGGATCCTGACACTCTCCTCTACGTCGCTGTACTAACCAAGACGGAAGAGAGAGACAAGACTTGAAGCGACCCTTCTTCCTTAATGTAACCTGAAAGCAAGTCAGATCAAAAGCATGGATGAGCTCTCACAGGCGTTCAGGATATCAGCTCGGAGACCAGGGTCAGACACTTTTGTTTGCAAGGCGGCAATACCCACACAACCGAGCTGGGAAGGCGATACGCTGCATGTAAAGAGCAGGCAGTAAATTCCTCTTACCAAACGAAGTGATGCGCAGGAGTCTGGATTTTCACAGTGACAGGAGCCTCTCGACCGTGCAGATGTAAGCTTCATCGCCGAAACCAAGTCGTCAACATCAAGAAGGCCACATGCACAGCTTCTGAGACAACACACCATCAGTATTTCAAACCGAAAGATACGTAATATTGTCCCATTTCGACGCTCAATTACAACGTCTACGTTATATCATCACTTTTGAACTGCAAGCTACCTGCATGGATCTCAGTAGCATCATATGCAGGCTTCAGGATGGTTGCCTTCTACCTTCTGTGAATAAGATCTTAGCCATCAAAGTTAATCAAATTTGCACGTTCTGCGCAGTGTATCGAATGCTGCGCGTTTGAAAGGCTCTCGCGTGGAACTTCACACAAGCCTGTACCTGCCGATGGGATTAACGCTGATGGTATTGATGGCTACGACTTGCAGGTAGTGAAAGGTCTTGAAGAGATAGACAGCCGTTTCAAATAACCAAGAGTTTCCTTATGGTTTCGATTTCCTTCTTCCCATCCTCTTTTAAAACTTTAAGCACTTGGGGAAAAAAGAAAAAAAAGAAGAAAATAGAAAAAAAAAAAAAGACAGAGGAGGAAACCAAACCAGCCTGTAAAGAAGCTCTAGAAAGACTAATTTTAGAGCAATACATAAGACCAGAGCATGATCGTTTCGCAAAATCAGTTAATCTAAGGATGCCCCAGGCATTTTGTCATATATAACGTTGCTAATATAATTCAACGTAAATCGTCAAATAGTGTTCGTTCATCTTCAAATGCCTCATAAGCGCAAACCTAAGTCATATACATAAGAGTATTTGATCCATTATAAAGTAGATTTTAATGTCAAAGGGATCACAAGATGAAAATGTGTGAGATTCAGTGCCTTTAGCGCTAAGCGATATTAACAGATACTCACCTGAGTATTCATGAAAGCTCACAACCCTGATTAGGAATAGCGCTGTCAGTGACAATAGCAATGAAAATAAACTTGGAAATGGGCAGCTCCTTCTAATCACAGTAGAATTCTTCGAGGGTCCTGCCTTTTCAACCTCTTTCAACTCACCACAGAAAGGTTTTCACCCACAGCACAGAATTCCACCCTTCTTTTCATCACCACCCCATCTTTCAATCTTCACTTCCCCAACTTCCCCTCCTCCAACCCACACAAGCCGGCATCTCCAACCTTTCGTCCTTCGAGATGGCTCCTACCGGCGCGAGCTCCATTTCGGAGCTCTACAAATCCTACAAGAAGTTGACGAACTGCTTTTTGAGCTGGCTCTGGTGCCAGCATCGACTCAAAGCACCCAGCGACTCCAGCCTAAATTTCAGATCCACCGCCGACATCTTGAGAACAGCGAAGGTCTTACAGAAGGCCAAATCCACCGTTCCGACCTCCGTGATCGGCTTCCTCCGAAGTGCCATAGAAAAGCGGAAGCTTGTGGCCAATATTTACCGGCAATTTGGCGCCGGTCATGATGGACATGACGCATTCAACGACAGGTATGGGATTAATCTGGGTAACATAGTTCAGCGCTAACAAGTAGCAGGCTTGAGGAAGTTCTTTCCATGCTCACTCCTCTGGTAGGGGAATTGGGCGCTCCTCTGGGGGACAAACCTGACCTTCAAGATTCGACGGCAAACACCTTGTTCTCTCGCCTCCCGACGGTCGAGTCTGAGCCCGAGAACCAGAAAACCCCCGTTGAAGCCGGTCATAAACATTGTGGCTCGCCTATGTCTTCTTCTCATACCACGAGCACAACAAATGAATCCGACATGCCCTCGGACTTTTGCTTGGAAGACGACAAAATCCGCGAGCTGTTCGATGCTGCCTATTTTCTAATGGTAAGAGGACTCTTTCCTAATCGTGATGAAGAAGTTCAGCTGACGCGAACTCAGGAGCTGGAAAATGTGCACAATGTGATCAAAAAATGCTGGGCAGATGCTTCTCACGGCAGCGTCCCCTTGCCTTTGGCGGCTTGGATGAACAACTTTGCGGTGTACTCTATCGCCAGAGAGATACCGCCGAAGTTCGTTTACGTTTGCTCCAACTTGGCTATGAACCCCGAGATGACCTGCAAATTCTTTTCTAAGCTCTCCAACAAGGTCGATCCGAGAACACTGCTTTCACATGCGCGTCGTTTCTTCATGCTCGCTCAGGCCATCAACGACTACGGCAGAACGCTCATTGGCAAACCGATGCTCAACATTCAAGGAGTGGGGGTCGTATGCAACATACCTGAGTGTCAATGCAAGTTCAGTCTCCCAAAAGGCCTTGTACCTAGGGGTGATCTCAAGGGAGACGAGATCTCCGAGTCAGACAAGGCGACTGTTCTCTCTGTTTTCGAGACCATGCGCGACGACCTCACCAACACACGGGCAATCGGTATGCTGGAAGCCACGAAACCCTTGACGTGTGGGTGCTTTACCCCAGTCTGCGATTCCTTCCTCTTCGGTGCCAGAAACTTTTTCTCGCAAACTGAGCCCATCGCATCGTCTAGGCTTGTCGCGGCCTTGAATCTGTTCCTTGTGACAGAACAGTCGGCCACCACTACTTCGGGTGCGAAGATAACACGGCCTCATTCTCGCTTCAGGGCCATTCGTCTGGCCATTGACTTCCGAACCAGTCTCTTACCAGTCATGAAATCCCTTAATGCGATGGGCCCGAACTGCAGGAGAGCTAAATACTGGCATGAACAGCTCCAAAAAGTCCGTGATGGGCTTGAAGCTTATGCCTCAGAGAAGATGTTCGACACCTATCATACGTCGCCATGGATTGTCGGCAGCCACATGACGGAAATTCTGACCGCCGCTTTCGCTTTTGGTTATCTCGTCAACTCTGAATGGGCGGTCATTTCATCGGCCCTGCACCTCTACAACGCTATGCGCCATGGCGTTACCAGCACCCCGAGAATACCCGTTTTCGACGACCTCTCTCAGGTGCTCATCCAATCCATCTTCGGGGCGAAATTGCCAGAGAGAAACTTCTGCTCCACCTTCCGTCGCATTGTATATCACAGCAAAATGGAAAAGACCGCAAATGCCGATGGCAAGCTTTACCGTTTGCAAGCTGGATTGATGAACCGGCCGGAGACCATGGACATTGACTCTGGCTTTATTGACCAGCACTTTTCGAATCATGAAAGTGGCCCATTGTTCCAGGGACAAGTTCTGGGCATTCCTTGCCAGCCAGAATTAGGCCAAAAGTCTTACAACAAGATCGAAGAAGCTCGGTCTAAGCTCACACTCTCAGAATACATGGAGAAAGCCAAGAGGACAGCCCTTATGGATATTGAGGGACCACATCCCATCGCCCGCGTCAACTTCTTCGCTGTTTTCACCTTGTGCAGCAAGTTTCTGACCAAATTCGGTAGTCTCGAGAAATCATTCGTTCCCATGGACAAATTTGAGTCGCTTTTTGCCGACCAGACGCTCAGAAACGATATTGTTATTGGCCGCTGCCATGCAGAGTTGTTGATGGAGTCCATCGACGACTTCTCGAACAGCAAACAGGGCAGACGTCATTTGGAACGGATGCGTTCGCCTCGTAACGCTGTCCAGGCGTTCGAAGAGATCGATCCGGAGACGACCCTGGCGCAATGCATGTGGAATCTCTGAGGAGGGCGATAACCTGGCGGCGAATTAGCCTGTCAGTGCGCACCATCAGGTTCTCACTCCCTGAGACTTTTACTTCCCTCCACTCGGACACAACCACACTTTGCAAACTCACAGAATTCTTGGCAGTCATTCAGATCTCAGAACTGACTGGAGAGGTGAACGGGGGAATGTGTTTGAAATACGGAACTGTAGAAACAGAATTGTACTGATTAGAGCATTCGCCCTTTCATCCGCTCATGTGTGCGTAGAATTATTTACATGAAACTCATCTTTCAAGCCAATCACTTCTTGAGGACGCAGTTGTGAGGGTTGCCGGTGCCGTCAGGCTTGAGCTTGCCTCCAATGCCGCAGAACTTGAGATCCTTGGTGTAGTACACCCGCATGGGCCCAGGACTGTTGCTGCTGCCCTTCTTCGACTTGTAGTCGTATGGCTTGCCGCTCTTGAGAACAGGCAGTTCCCAGACGTCGCTGCCGCAGCCGCTGGCAAACTTCATCACGTTGCCCTGGTTACCAAACGGCTTGGGGTATCCGCTGCCACCGGTGCTGGTCTTTGCATCGCGGAAGAAGCCGATGGCCTTGTCCTGGCTGATTTCGCCGTAGAGCGCGCCGTCGTTGTTGGCGCCGGCTTTGCAGATGTAGACCTATTGTTTAAGTCCGTATTAGTGCGCTGATGGTATCATGTTGTGTGTTTTATGGGTAATACCTGGCCGGCACGAGCTTCAAGAGAGAATTCTTCGTTCGGGTTGGGAACGGGGCTGGCAATGGCGACCGAGGCGGCAAGGAGGCCGAGGAGGTATGTGTAGGCAACCATCTTGAGAGATTGAGGTTCGAAGACAAAGTGTTTGTTAAATTGCTTGGGGGTTTGTTGGAGAGTGTGCGTTGTTGAGTTTGATGATTCGGAAACTCTTGCGGTGTTGAGGACTACATTATATATCATTCCAGCCGCCATCAATTACAAGACTTTGCATGAACCACCATTAGGCAACCCCGAGAGCCATCGGAGCACTAGGCAAAGTGCAAAGGGATTTCTGTTCCTAGACCCAGGTGCAGCTACCGCCCAGAAACGGAGAAGACAAACTGAAGGATTGATCGGCTGTGGAGAGCTTGACTGCATGTCAGACGTTTTATGTAACCCAATTCATACATCAGGCTATGCCGTCGCCCGAATGTGGCTTGCAATCGAGCGCATTCGGGATATTCTCTCAGGGGCAGGCATTAGACGCAAAAGTTTAAAGCGAATTGCTGGGGTTGTTGTCGGCACTGAATAGCCGTGGGCGTGCGGTCTAGCTTCTCTTAGGCAAGGCTAAGTGCGAATGGCAGCAAAGGAGTGATCGTCTGTGGGGGAGCTGGACCGCATGTCAGCTCCCATGGGCCATGACTAACCTAATCCGCAGGGAAGGCTATGCTGTAGCCTGATTCGTCGTGTTCTAGGTTGCTCCAAGACGGTACCATCGCTCTATTCGGGACTCTCAGGCTTCCAGATGACATTCGTAGAGTTGAGCAAGGCTGACTTGAGAATGTACTCGCGAACAAAAAGACCATGCAGGTTGCACCGCTGAACATCACCATTTCCAACTTGTGGGTATCAGTTGCGGGTTACCGGGGTGTGTCAGTCGAATCGTCACCTTTTGGGGAATGATACTCACAGGATGATGACAAGAGTCTCACGAAAGCCTTCTCATGACCGTTTTTGTCTTACCTTGAAAAGGGAAGACAGGCAGAGCTGGGCAAAGACAAGCTCCGCTTGGGGGCGGCAATGCCTCTACGCATCTCGGTTTCTAGACATAAGCCACAGGGTCTCGAATCCTTCCATGATGGACGGAAGGCGGAAGCAGCCCAAATGATATTAATGAAAACAAGTCGGCCTGACAAATATTGACTACTGTCAGATCTCACGGCTAAAAGATCCGTGGGAAAACGGGTCTCACCGGGGGCGCGGGGCGCAGAACGCGGGCCGGAATGAAGCTAGTCTATTTTTAGGCGGGGTAGTTGTACGGCGGGTCCCGCGCCCGCCGCCCCTGCTTTAGGCAGCTGCCTCCCCAACTTACATCGCAACTTCGTCATACTCTTACCAGGCTACCTCTTACCCAAACCGTTTATTCAGAACTTCTATACCTAGGTACCAACAACCTTGACGACCATCACTTCTTCACATCAAATTTCTCTTACAACCTTGAACATCCAACAGTGCAGCAACACGTACCTACCTCAGCCCAACATGTCTGGCGTCCAGCTACAGATCCCCGGTGACGCGCCGGCATTTGCTGGTCAAGTCGTTGAGATACTCAACTCAGTACTTGGGTCCTCTTCACAAAAGCTGTCATCAGTGGATGCAGCCAAAGCAATCGACGAGTTATTCAATCAGCAATACCAAAAAGACGGCACTGCGGGTTCATTCCTCTGGTGGTTTTGGGATCTTGTCCATGACCTTGCTCTGCAAATTCCCTATAATAGCCAGGAGCAAGAGCGACTCACAACAGTTATCAAATCTCTCCACGAACTTCCCCCAAAGACAGTAAGCTTGGGCCAGGAATGGGGCTCTGATGGCGCGGATTCTGTTCCTGTCTGGACGGGCTTACCCATGTTTGCTAACACCTTCCGAGAAAAGCTCGATACTGGTAAGCTGTTTCGGCACCCACGTGGTGATGATGATGTCTGACATTTTTAAACCTTTAGTGAATTTGCAGACTTCCGAAGAACAGAACAAGCAAAAAGCCATCAATCTCCAGGCCTATGCCGCAAGAGTCGCAGGACTCGGCCTTGTACCCTTTGAGATTTACGCGATCTGGGCTTTGGTCGATGCCTTGGAGGGCACGATGAAGCCCATCCGAGGTGGCCCGGATGAGATCGACTCGGACCCTTCTGCCGTACCGGATATCTCCTTAAAAGTCGCGATCGCTGCGAACTGGATAAAATTCGCTGGCCATCGTCTGCACGGGCGGGATGAAGAGGTGCATGGAGCTACGGTCGGCCCACTTTGGAAGCTGGACAAGAAGGAGGCTGTCAAGCTGCGTCGCAAGCTTCGCGGAACTGATGGACTCTGCCCGGAAAGATGGGCTCTATGGGAGGAGAGATTCGCGGCTGTCCGGGATGCGAAAGATGTTGATGATGCCGCCCGCGAAAATGCAAAGGCTGCATTTCATGTGATGGAGCAGATTGAACAGGGTGGCAAGTGAGATATAGAATTATTGGCATGATGCTGTTTCTGTCAAGGATGAAAACACTTTGAAGAGCAAGTGATTTTGTTCTCTTGAGGTCTATGTATGTATATCACCACTGGAGATGAAACAAAGTCACTTGCTCTTCAAGGTGTTTTCATCTGGTAATATATGGGTTTTGAGGGCTTTAGGTCCATGTACCCGGCATATCGTAACCGAGTACAAACCTCACAATCGAGCATAATTGAGCTCATGAGATATCAGAGCAGAAAAGAACTAACGGCACAAAGGCATCAAAAGAGTTCGGACAGGGTCTATCAAGTTTATGACATTGATGACTTACACCTTGGATAGTTTGGAATGCCTGCTGTCAAAAAGCTTCTGCTGGCACCTGACACCTGGCGCCAGATGGGAGGCTGTATATGTACAGCTGGCCACTTTGAATTTCAGAGTGGGGTAATATCACCCTTGCGCCATCGCACGGGCTCGCTCACATTTCGAACTTCTTCAACGGTCACCTCACACTCACCCACTGTCCCAACTGTCATCGTTCGCACGATAGAGGCGATTCGAGAGACTCTCGCGATGGAGACCTCGACATACATCTTTCTGGCAGTCGCCATTTTCATCATCGGTCGCGTAAGTGATTCCAGCTAGGCCATCCAAACACCACTGCGCGCCTGGCGCCGGCCACGGACTGCTGTCGCCATCAACCTCACCCGAATCCCTGCTAACATCTCATCAAGATGCTCTTCGCCGACCGCTCTCCCATCCCCGAGACATCCGGCAAGGTCTACAAGCTGACCAGCCAAGCCGAGCTGGACGCGCTCCTCACCTCGACCAAGCACGTCATCGTCGACTTCTACGCCGACTGGTGCCCGCCCTGCCGCGCCATCGCGCCCGTCTTCTCCGAGTGGGCCGACAAGCACGCTGCCGAGGGCAGTCTGGCCTTCGCAAAGGTCAACGTCGACCACGTCAACGCCATCGCCAAGACGTACAACGTCACCGCTATGCCCACCTTCGTCTTCTTCCGCGACGGCAAGCCCCAGGGCGTCGAGGTCCCCAGCCTGAAGCCCCGGCAGTCTGTGAGTTTTACCAGCGAGGGACTGGTTGAGCGGGTGAGAGGGGCGGACCGCGCGGCGCTGCAGGCTGTTGTCAACGCCTTGGCTGGACCGCAGGAGGGTGCCAAGAAGGAGTGATGGGGACGAAAGGACATTTGAGAATGTGGTGTGCTTCGTGTTTGTAGCTGGCTTCGACGTGTCACGAACTGGCAACTGGAGGGTACTAGTTGGTATGCAGTAAGGTATGGGAATACGAGATAAATTGAGGTGCCCTTCTGCGGGGGTGTTCTACACGGGAAATCTCTGGAAGCCCCCCGCTAGGAGGGCATCTTTACTGATCTCATATTACCACGCCTTACAGAATGACAGCTTGTAGCCAACTGTTTTCATATTTGAGCTATCGCCGTGGATGAGTCCTCTCTTCTGTGAAGGAACCACATGCCTTGTTCTTGAGGCGTAGCTCACACATCAACAATGAGGAAGAGCATCTGCTTTCTTCATAAGTATTGACGGTTATTCCGAGTAATCAAGCACAAAAGTTGCCTTGAATTGTCATTTAAATGCCTTAATCAAACAAATCCGACACGGGGTCTCGCTGTCCTCGAGGTCGGTATTACCGTGGCATATCTTGCGCAGATAGGCGGATCATGGCGCTCAGAAGACCGCCAAAGCACGTCAGATCCTGTGCAACACTGATTGACGGAAAGGAAAAGAAGGAAAACCAAAACGCGAGACTTGTGTATCTGTGTGTCAACTGAAATATCGCAAATTCAAGAATAATAATCGCAAATGAACCAAGAACTGCCGTCATTGCCATCATGTGTATCCCCTCATGTTTCCTGCTCGCAGTCAAATTTCATGACTGCTTGACGAGTATTGCGTCTACAACCGGCCAGCAATATGCGCAAGCCGCGCTGTCACATAGCTCAACTGGCCATCGTTCCAAGCGTCGATGGCCTTTCCCGCCATACGGCTCAACTGTCCGCCATTCCAGGCATCGATAGCCTTTTCCGCAACGATGCTGCTTGCATGTGGTATCGGCTGGAATATCTCATTCACCAGGGCGATCAGAACGACCAATCCAAGGATCTTAGCGATGGAAAGGTTCCAGTTGTCGTGCAAGTCTTTCAAATCGTCCCATTTTGCTTCCATGCCAATCTTGACACTATCGTCGACGACGTGTTGGCTTATCTTTTCCCCGATCTGTTGTCCAAGGCACAAAGCATTGCTTCTTGCGTTGTCTGCGCCGTATAAGTGAGGATGGTCGATTTTCAGCTGCTCGGCGCTTGATGTAGGCGCTTCAATTTCAGACTGTTCGGCCATCGATCCAGGCACTTCGGTTGTCAGATGTCCGACTTCAAGCTTCTCGGCCCCTGATACGGACGACTCGGCTGCGAAGGGGTTGTTGGTGGCGGGGCTGGTGAAGTCGGTATCATGATTGTGCCCAAGATAGGCCGTTGCGGGTACTTCAGGCTGGTCTGCGCTTGATAGATCCATTTCGTTCATGTTGGGGCACAGAATGTCGCTGCCGTTGGCATCCTGGAACATTGACATGGGATCGGGAATGCTGACGTTGGTATGCTCCGGAACGTGAACGTGCAGTGGCATGTGACTGTAAACGGGGAGAGCATGGACTGCAGAGGCAGCGGCAGACGCGGCATCGGTGATCTTGTCGGCGAACTTTGCTACGAAGGCGTCTCCTATATTGTCGAAGCCAATTATGCCCAAAGTCGCTGTCATACAAGCGGCCTTGAGGGTGACGCCCAGGGCAACATCTACCAACGGGTGGTGACGTTTCTTCGCTTTGTACTCCTCCTCCTCTTTTCTAAACGACTCGTCATTCAATCGACGGGACTTTATCTCCCTTCTGACGCGATGGCAGTTCGTTGACGATATGCCCAACTGCCAGAGATTTACGCCGATGGACACGGCGAACGGAGGGCAGGCAGCAGTGAGCCCGGAAGATGCGGTAACACCGAAGACGGAACCGGACACTGCTCGTCTTGTGCTTCCCATGAATACCAGAAGCTTCTTGTGATCCAGGTTGCGAATGTTCTTTTTGTTGAGGTGATGATTCAGCTTGAGATTGAGGTTTTCAGCAAGCCACCCGGGTGATTTCCTGGATCTCTTCCAGAACCACTTGGATCCTCTTCTGAATAGCTCTCGACGGCTGCTCCGGCCGATGGGCTCTTTACCCAGGAATTCATCGCTCAGCACAGAGATATTGTCCACGATGAGAGGCAGATAACGCGAGGATGATGGAGAATGTATGATCTTGACTTGGGTGAATGCCAAGGGGTCAAAAGTTCCGAGAGAAAGTGATGGAGAAAGGAACTGAGTGTGGAATCATGGATTCTCCGGAAGAAAAAATGTGTAGCATAGGTGGTGCAGAGAACTACAAGCTCGGCGGCCTGGGGAGCTTTATAGAATGCAATCTTACGAGCACATACGGGTGGAAAAGAATTTCGAAAGAGCATTTTGGGTATCGGGAAAAGAAGTGAGACAGATCGGCACACAACGCAAGATCATATCGTCGACCTGTTCCACGAGTAGCAGAAATTTAGGATGCACCCCCTGAATGATTATTGGCATAATACTTCGGCTCTGCTAGCCCTTACTGCGAACTCATGTTATCTAATTAACAAAGTAGGGTTTCCATAGCAGAATCGCTTCTTCAAAATCAAATCGGGATAAGCCGGAAGATTGGCGATTGCTCACCTCTCTCACACACGAAGAAAAAGACAGCAAATTACAATCGGGTCATGTACCCGGGATGGCTGAGCCCAAGAAGCGAAGTTGGCCAAGCCAAAAAAAAAAACAGTTCGTCCACGTCGGACAACTCAGCCACCCAGTTTCCGCTAGAGCATGGCACGGCACAGGAGAGCGTGGAAGCAAACCCGGTTGGATGTAAGCATGGCACAAAACATGCAAGGGGCTTCTCATGAGAAATCATCGCTGCAGCCGAACCTACATTCAGGTACGATTTGATCATTATTTGTCTACGTGTACGGGCTGTGAAGCAGCACAGCCACGATAGTTCACCGAAAACCAAGACATCGCAGTTCCCGGTGGCCCTTCTGGTAAAGCTAGCCTCCGTGCCTATAGAGGCCAAAGAGAGTGACGCGACGGCACCAGCAAGTGAACATCGTGACATCTTCCCGGCTTCGCCTTCCAGTAGCTTGATATCTAATAAGGATGATCAAGCTTACAATCCAAGCTTGGTCAGCTCCTCCTCCACCACCTTCCCCCAAGCCCTCTCATTCTCCCTACTCTCCCTCCAAAGCTCACAAATCGCCCTCACATGGTTCACAACCAAATGCACCCCCTCCTGCACCTCCGTGTACTTCACCCCATCAACAACATCCTCCCCAATCCCCCGTTCCCTACAAACCTCCCGCGCCCACCCCCTCATCCGATCCCTCTCCCTCCTCGCCTCCTCCCCCTCCCCTCCCCACGGATACAGAAACGCATTCGGCGGATCCCACCTCGGCCCCGGCACAACCCCGCCAAACTCCCAATCCAACACCCCCGTCACCGTCCCATCCGTCTCGTCCACCATCACGTTCGCCAGATGTAAATCCCGGTGCGCAAGCACATACACCGTATCCCCCATCTCCCGCTCATGTTCCTCCTCCCTCACCCACGCCCGTAACCCCTCCAGCCGGGGCACCAACTCCCTCGCCCATTGCAGCGCCGCATGCCGGGAGATGACGTGCACATACCGTCCCAGCGCCGCGTCCACATGCTTCCCCCACGAGGCAAACGGCCCGTCGACCGGGTTCAGACTCTCCACCGTCTCCCCCGTGCCGGCCCAGAACCGCTCCACCATCGGCGCCATCCAGAACCACTCGTCCACCACCGGACCCGGCACAATCTCCCCCGCATCGTCGACCCTCAACCCGCCGACGTGCTTCCACCGCGACGTCTCCCGCAACTCCGCCAGAAACCCCACCAGCTGCTCGACAACCCTCCTCCTCACGTCATCGCCCATCCCCCAAAACACCTTATCAGCACTGCACCCACGCACCCTCTCGAGCAAACTAAACTCGCACCCGAGCACGTTCTCACACCCGCTGTCCCACCGCACGACCGCCGGGACCGGCACGCGCGTGTTCTCCCTCACCCACCGCATCATCGCAATCTCGTTCTCCGTCTTGATACGCGGGAGGTGGTCGCCCGACACGCGCAGCACGAGCGTCACGCTGCCATCCTCATCAGGTCTGGCGGGCGCCAGCGCGGGCGCGGCCGAGGCGGGGAAGTGGAGCAGGTAGATCCGGTGGAAGGCGGCGGTGACGGTGAGCGGCTCGGTGGAGGTCGGGGCGGGCAGGCCGAGGGAGGCGGCGAGGGCGAGGATTGTGGCGGGGGGGTGCGGGGGCGGGAGGTGCGATGCGGGGTCGTCCATCTCCACGGTGTTATCAGTAAGCCCAAGTCGGGTGAATGCTGTTGGGATGGATTTGGTGGGAGTGTGAAGAGTGGTTTTGTCTTACTGATTTCCGGGAAACAGCCCGTGAGATTCTTATACGTCCGTCTTACCTCTTGTTATCTACATCTCGCACCTGCCCGTAAGATACTAGTCCAACCATCCGGCACACCGGGCCCGAGAAAAAGAACGGGTCCGATCGGCGCCGTCCCGATGAATCATCCTGCATACATCCATCCCACACCACCACTCGGAGTCATCCAGTCTTTAGCCATGCGGTCTAGCACACACGCAGTCAGCCATCCCAACGGGTGCGGTGCGTCACACACACTAATAAACTCAAACCACCTAATCTAACGAACACCACCCTTTCACCCTTTTCCTCTTCGCCAACCCTAACCCCTGACCCCCTTCCTCTGCCGGCGGCACGAGTCGTCGGCCAGGTTTCAAACCATCCGGCTGACAACCACCCCAACCTAACCCTCACAAACAACGAACCCCCTTGCTGAGAACGACGGAAAAGACGGAAAACCCCAAGCGCCATCACAAAAGTCCCCAACTTTCTTCGTTCTCGTTATCAATCAGATCACATTCATGCAGCGCCAAAAACAGCGAGATAACCCCGGCCCTGCAAAAGTCCCCGTGCTGGAATCTGTCTGCTTCGTCCCACCATCCCGTCGTATCTAATCAACGTAAGGCTGCACTAATAGCCTCACCGCAGCCGCTTAATCTATCTCTAATCAACCTCCCGCATCCTCATACCGACAAGGCCAAAGAACACAAACATAACACTTCTTGGCTGAGCCGGCACTTTCACATCGGTCATCCTCCACATCGCATCTCTAAACTCGGCCAACAGAACGCCCCTAGCTAACAACGTCCAACGGACTTTCAGGCCGTCCCACCGCAACGGCCAACACTGCGCCATCACCACGACTCGCACCCAAACTCATCCGCAAGCAAGCCTACCCCTGCAATGAGCCGCCTGAAGAGCCGCGCAACCGGCGTGCCAAGACCACTGAACTCGTGCCTACCAAGACTTTTCAGAGATGGATGTGCTGAGTTTTCCCACTTCTAGCAGGATGATGCGCGCGTGGCGCTTCTATTTACGCTGCCTTGGTATCTTGGCCAAACGTGAAAGTTGAAGGAGATAAATAGTGAACATCTCCCCGCCGGGGAGATGCAATTTAGGGCTCGACCAAAACCACGTCGCTTTTTGGGTAGGTAAGAAGCGAATGATGACTCGCAACTCATGACTCTTCACAACGGAATTATGTATGCTCTTCATATCTTTTATCCATTAGGTATCTTGACTCGAATGCTATGCATTGGGACTTTGGAGCCCCGTGGTATCTCCCCCAACAAGTCACTGTGTCTAGTTTGTTGCCAACCGCACTTTCTTTTGCCAAGCAATTCATCCCATCTTCTACATCAAGAATAGACGTAGGTCATCTATGCCAGACGGCAACCACAAAGGAAATCACTGGATATCTACAAATGCTTTTCTCGCAGACAAATGAGATGCCCGGGTGCAACTGTCCTTCAATTAGTCATGTCTGTAGACATTTGCGCAGCTGGCTTGCGTTAAAAACACTGTAGTCTTGTCTCAGCTGCGCATGTTGCGCCCGGGGCTTTTCTTTCCGACGGAGGATCCTCCTTTCTCCCATCGACTCGCATGACGCCGGGATACAGTCGAACTCAAAACAGGCATTCCGCAACCTTGTTTTCCCAGTTCATCCCGCGCTGAGTGATTCCAGTGTCCTGTCATGATATCGTCTCGTCGCAATCGTCACCGTTCGTGGTTGTTGTTTATGCGTGGGCGGCAGGGGCAGCGGCCTCGGCAGCGGGAGCGGCAGGGGCGGCAGCGACAGGAGCAGCAGCAGGCGCAGCGGCGTTGACACTGGCAACAGTCTTCTGGGCGACCTGAAGGATGTTGTCCTGGCCGAGGGTGTTCTGCGGGAAGCGCGCGTTGAAGCCAATGACATCGCGGACGGCGTTGAAGGTCTGGGGCTGGACCATGAGGCGCTGGGTAGAGACGAGCCACTGGACACCCTCGGAGCAGGGAGGGGTGGTAAGAGAGCCCATGTAGCTGCAGCAAAGTTAGTGATAGTCTTGATGTCAGGGATTTGTTGACGTACCTCTGGAACTGGCCAGCGCTGAGAAGGGTGACGACCTCCTGCATGTCGAGGGCACCAGTCTTGGTGACGGTGCCAGGCTCCTTGATGGCATCCAGAGACGAGAAGACGGTAGCGAGAAGGTTGGAAGAGGCAGCCTCAGCCTTGACGGGGTTCAGAGTCATGCTGGGGATAGCCTTAGCACCCTCGGCACCCTTGGCGGCGTCGAGAGAGGCACGGCGAGACATCTTGCTGCGGCGCTCGGCGGCAGTCGTCTTGTTCTTAGCGGCCTCAGCGGCGGGGGCCTCGGCAACGGGGGCAGCGGCAGCAGCGCCCTGCTCGACATCGATGTAGGTGCCAATGACTGCAATTTCCTGGTTGGCTCCCTCGAAAACCATGTGCATCTCCATGGCCATGCTTCTTCCGGCATCGAGATGCTCGCTGGGCAGATGGAAGTGGAACTGCTGGAGGGTGAAGTTGGAGCCGCCAACTTGCATCGAGCCTCCCTTGGCGATGACCTCGACGGTGGTTCCCAGGTTCTCAAACTCGGTCTCCTCCATGTTGGGGATCTGCAGGTTGATGGAGCTTCCGGGGAGGGTGTTGAAGGCACCAGCAACCATGTCGATGGGGGACTGAGTCTTTCCGGTGGCGCAGAGGGCGTTGGCGGTAGCGTCAAGAGCAACCCAGTTCAGGGGGCCCTTTAAAGCCTGTTAGTAAAGACGAGGCGAGTTGAGAGGCGGATCTACTCACATTGGTTCCGGAGTAAGCGAAGGTGTTGACCTTGACCTTTCCACCTTCGGCGCGGGGATCCAGATGAGTGCCGTAAGCGCAAGAAGCCAGGACTTGGGAGACGGAAGCGGCAAAGACGCCGGCGGTGAAGAGACGAGAAGCCATTGTAAGGACGGTAGGGTACGGACCAGCTCGTGAAGGCCTACAAAGGATTGAGAGAAGAGAAGAGTAGTAAGCAAAAAAAAAAAAAAGTAAATTATTGGTTAAACAGTGTAAAGGCCAGCCCTCTAGGGGAAGAAACGAAACGAACGGGGAAGAGAAGTGAAGTTGGTAAAGGTTGGTGAGGTAAGAAACGAGATGAACCAGGAAAAAAGAGTACGTCTGTGTCAAGATGGCATGATGTCTATATAGTCTGGAGCTGGAGTCGTCAGTTGAAGGACGGTTATCGAGATGATCGCCCTCGAAAGTCCAGAAATAGCATCAAAGACAGCGACCCATGGGTAGATGCTCGGAGCGGACGAGGCAGGAGGGACGGAATGATGGTGAGGGACTTGGCAAGCGCTTCATCCAGGGTGGTGAGAGGAGGCGGGAGGCGAAGAGGGCGCAATGAGCAGCCGTGGGCGAGTGAAGAACGAGGATAAGGGTGCCTTGCGTTTGGGGATGAGCGCCTCCGTTTCCCATGGTATCGTAGGCGTGTTTCTGGCGGTGGTGACGGGGGCGGTTCAAGCTTCTCCATCCAATGCGACAGCATGCCATCTGGACTATGGGACCGCAAGCATGGCCATGGGCAGTGTGTTCTCGCCCGGCAGTGGGCGATGGCTGTCGAGACGGAGGAGAGGGGCCGTTTGGAGCGGCGGGCGGAATGACCAGGGCCCCGGTCTGGTTGACAGGATGGGAGTCCGTCGCCAGGATGAAACTGCCAGGCTCCGGAGGGTTGGAAAGGCTGTGGGGAATATGACCACTTTATCGGTTGAAGGCTTGGCCCAGCAAAAGGTCGAGCAGAAAATCCATGGGGATGCGTAGCACGAGTCTCAATGAGGCAGCGCGGCGTGACGGCGAGCGACAGTCTTGGTTCGGACGGAGGTGAAGCCCCGTCCCCATGTTCATGTTCTTTGCGCTGGGTGGTGATCTTCCTCCCATGGGGAGCGATCCTTAAAGGCCATGATGGTGATTTCCCGGAGGCGGCAGGCGAGGACTAAAAATAAGCATTCGAAATGATCTGCTCCAAGACAAACGGCGGTTCAAGTGCAGTTCGGAGAAATAAGCGGGCGGGAGGAATTTTCCAAGAGAAGGACAAGAAATGAGGCTCTACCCAAGAGAAGTCCAAGAGATGCGCCCAAGACCAGAAGGTGGGGAGGGGGAGGCCACTGGACCTTCCCTCTTTCCATCGATAGGCACAGTTGCAAGCAGGTACGTACACATCTCTGCACGTGTGTTCCATGCTCCATGCCTTCCTGGGTGGGCAGGTTAAAGTAGGAAGAAGTCTTGGACTGGAAGGCGGCAAGTGCGATGCCTGCCGCAGCTTAACCTTCTCTTTTGGTGGAGCAGAAGGAGAAGGGGATGGGAGGGAAAGAAGGCTTGGCAGTTCCTGTCTCACGCGTGGCGGTGGCAGTCCTTTCCTGCGTTGACAGTGGAGGGCGGTCAGGGACCAGCTCACAGCTAAAAACCTTAATGGGCCGTTGGTAGTGCCCTAAACCTTAAGGCCTTTTAGGGCCTGCCGGCGTCCATTGGAAGGAGGCGCCCAGCACAGGCCTCAGGAGCGCTTGCCTCCTCGGACTCTTGCCTGCTCTGTTCGGACGACACAGGGGGAAGGAGGTGGTCCACTTTTCGTACCTTCCAGCCGTCGCAGCTGCGCACTGAGACGACGCTCTGGACAGGAAGCAGCCAGTTCCAGGCCGCAGCAGGAGGCACCCGCACCGCAGCTTCTTCTTTCAAGTGTCGCAGAGTCGACGCCTCCGGCAGCAGGAACGACTGAATGAGGCCTGACGAAGACAAGTCGTGATGAAGCTAGGACTGATCAAGTCATTGGATCCCGTGGGGATGGATGCGAGAAGGGATGACAGGAAGAAGGGGCAAGAAAAAACCGCCTGATTTTTGCAGAGCCAAGAGCTTGAATGGCTGCCAAGTCAAACCAGGGCG